GTGCTTTTCATCCTCCCACGCCAGCCTGGTACTATTTAACCGACCTTGGAGGGATATGGTAGACCTGAGCAAATACAGATCCAAGACTCGAGCCCAGGACCATGCCTGTGTAATACTGCGCCACTCACCCCTACACAACCTATGTACACCCAGTAAAATAGTCATGAACCTGAACACACTATTGAGTTTGTAGTCAGTATATTGAGAGTTAGGATGGGGTGAAGAAGAGGAGAAACTTGCAAGCAGTCCGAGGTCGAGAAAAAAGGGTCCCAATGGTAAGAATTCGTAGTAGAACCTTAACGAAATGATATGAAACCACTTGAATAATCACCACAAGCGCCCAAGGAAGCTGAACTAGCGAGTGATCCAGTCGTCAGATCTGCAGTTCTTGAGCAACTTTTTCTAAAGACCTAATTCTACTCCCAGTTCGAGATTCTATGGGACCAACTAAGTTCATTCCAGTATGTATCAACATAAACAATATCTTTTGCAGATTCTCCACTTCCACATTCGCCTTCGTTCTCGAATCACCTAGTGCACATTGGTAACTCACCCTTGGAATCGAAACGTCATTCACTGAGAGTTGAACGACCTCGAAGGGTTGATTCCCGAAATGAAGAAGAGATGCTTTTGGAGAAAAATATTGACCGAGTAGGAGCCGAGAAACTTTTAGAAAGTCGAGGACTTGGTGACTTTCTTTTGAGGTTGGAGTTTATTTTTCTTTAGCATCAATCCATTAACGAAGAGAAATTCAAATTTTTGCGAATTCAGATCTCGAGGAGAGGGCAGTGCAGCACTGTCACTTCGTGGTGCTACCGGCGTCCTTCATATCAAACTCGAACGACGAGGCGATAAATGGGTGATCGGAGAGGGCCCGTGCTTTCGATCGATCTCTTCAGCTGTTCATTACTATCGACGACACCCGTTACCCATTCGGGGATCAGATCATCTCCTTCTGAATGCATCGCTTACGAATACAGTCATGTTATAGCGACGATGTCCCCCTCATTACACATTCCGGTCTATCTTTGAATGACAACCCTATTTGCTTGCCTGAGCCAGGGACCCTGACAGAGGCCCGACCCTTTACCAATCCGAGTGGTTCGTCTATAGCCTCAAATCTATGAGAGGCTCGGCTGAGAATTTTTGCAAATCGTATCCGCTTTGTTTCTTTCACCCTTTCCCTTGTTTGTTGTTCTTGTGTACATACTTTAGTAGAGAAAATAAATTGGTTACTTACACTGAGAAAAACAATTAATGCTTAGAAATTGGCACATTTTTGTCCAAGTCCAAGTCATTTAGTTTTTTATCCCAGATTTAGGTACAGATTGTGAATGCATTCTTAAGCAGTTCCGCTCTTTTTCCATGACACCCGTAATCGAATGCATAAACGAATGAATGAGAAGTCTCAGGTCTCTGAGGAAGTCCAAGTATTCCGGTTCTATGTAAAAAAGGAAAACAACGGGAAGTACAATCAAGCCCAATCATATATACCCTGAATAACCGACGAAAAACCTCCCCAGATGTAAGTGAACGTTCAGGAGGATACCCTGAAGAGGTGCATATGGATGATTCACCATATGCACCTCTTCAGGGCACTTTGGGGACTTTATGGAGCAAGCTACCCACTCGATGAAGCCGGGATACTACAGAATTTTGTGTAAAAAGCTACTGAAGGAAAGAAGTGACAACGGGACCTTACTCCACTCGAGGGAATCGACGATACTCTAGAATAGGCCATCGATAACGATAGCATTTATGAAGTCATGGCGCGCTCAAATCTTCCATCACCTTCTCCAAGACTTCTTAGGCACGCAGGGAACGCAGTATGCCCTCGAGTCTTTGACTTGTGGCCGGGGATAACTGGCTGTATCGTTAGTTGTAATGTGGCATCGGCAAAAGGGAATCCATCAAAAAACTCAAATATTCCCATCACTCTTATTCTACAGCCACTTTCCAGGTCTATTCCGAAAAGGAACATCCCTCTTCCTTTATCTGCTGTTTTTACTTTTTTTTATCGGTAAGCTGAGATGAAAGAGAGGGAAAAAATGAAAGCGCGGGCAGTGAAGCGAGTGTTTTTCACGATTCAACAACATGTAGATAGGTTTTCATGAAAAATTAAACAATTAGAAAGCTGCCAGAAAAGAAGGGCGAAAAAACACCATACCTACCACACAAACACCAGGAAAAGAAAAAGAGACGAAGCCAGTTTTTGAGTAGCCTGTAGGTTGCAAGGGAATTCACTTGAATTATTAAGCGCACCCAAATACATCCTAGGTATCTCGAAATATTACAAGAACGTCATTGAAGTAGTTATTCCTCGCCTATCCGACGCGATCGATACTCGCCCAGGACGACCAAGCCTTCTATCTCCTCGGGGTTGATTATTTGGTACCAGACAAGTCTGGGAGGATAAAAGCACTGACTTGTACAACGGCTGGCCACCACAAGTCATTGTATAGGCTACATACGCATTCAATATGCCACTACGATTCTGCATGGAAGTCGAAT